GTTCGGTGAGGGGGGAGAGGAGAGGAGAGGGCCCGAGGCAGGGCCCGGGTGAGGGCCGCTGTTGGGTGGGCTCGGCCCCGCTCCTCGCCCTTTGCGCCGGGGAGCGCGGAAGTGGGAAACTGCAGCTGCGAGCTTTACTCCACCCTTCGTGTGTGTTCAGTTTTCTGCTGTTGAGGGATTTGATTTCTGTGCACCAAATGTGTGAATTCAGTGCTGCTCAAGTGATTACAAGTTATGAATACGTGTGCGAGGTTTCAGTTGCATTAACTGTTAAATCTTTGATGAGACTGGGGTTTACCTGATCTGGTACACTGGACTTTCTAGCAGGAACGACCTGGGATGCCGACAGTGTTTCAGTTACCGATTCACAGAACACCAATATACGTTAACATATACTGTCTTGTTTTACAGCGTTAAAACAAAATGTCATCATCATCACAGTCATCCTCCTCTTTACCTGTACATAACTGTACTGCTCCTTTATTGGACTTTGATCTTCAGGAAAAGCTTCTTCTTCCTCATGCTACTGAGGCAAGTTCATTCTGTTCTTGTTAAGCTTGATTTTTTTCATTCTATTTGCTTTGTTAGCAAGATTAAAAACCAGATATTTCAAGACATGCTCCCTAGCTACAAATGGGAAGTAGGTGATTATTCCACAAATGAGTAAGTGAGAGTGCTGGATATAAAAAGCGTATAGTGAAACTACGGAAAAATTCTTGTTATTTTCTGCTTATATAGATGGGCTAGGATAAATGAAGCATGATGTTTAATCTTTCAAGATGCTGTTTTCGCTGGAAGTAATTAAATTCAAGAACTTAGTTTTGGTTACATAACTAAGAAAAAGCTACAGAGACCTGCACTGTGTTACGTAAGTTGAGGTCTGCCAGGAAATGTAACCCTGTAATAAAACAAGACACATAAATATATATATATAAAAAAATAAAAAACATTTGATATTTGGAGCATAGTTATTTGCCTTATGGCAACAGCTGGAAGCAAAGCAGTCTACATTCTGATTCTGTGAGGAAGTGATTTTTTTTTAGTTGGGAACTTCCCAAATTCTGTTACTAATTTTCTCAATTATGCTAAGAAGATACAGATGGAAGAATATAAACTCTTAGGCTGACAGGTTCTTTTGATGGACATGTGCCTGGCACAGGCTGAAAGCAGGAGAAATGTGTCCTGGTGGGTAGAGAAGGCAAGACAGCCCACTTCTGAAAAATGATGAGTAGTCAGTGGAGCACTGATCAGAGTAAACAGATAACTTTGTGCTTGATGAGGGCGTCAGTCATGCTGGAGTGTGAGGGTGGAGGCAGGAGAGAGGTGTTTGGAGAAGGGTTGAGGGTGATGGCAGGTTCCTGGTGCTTGACAAGATAGTGGGGGGAGTGGGATGTCTTTAGGTAGTAGGCACTGATACTTGGCTCTGGACTTGCCGTGACACGGGCAGCATCATGTTCCTGTGCAGCCCTCTCTGTTGAGGAGTTTTTCCAAACGGGGTGGAGGGGGTGGGAAGCTATTGCTACTTCCAAATTGGAATAACTCTGCTGTGTAAATGTAATATTGGTGACTGAGCAGGACTTGGCCTTGCTTCACTGGAGGTAAAATGTTTACCTTTGCCTTGTAGATTAGGTGTGTTCTGTGAGTATCAGTTTGAGGGTACATCCTGTACCCTTGTTGGAAGTCATAAATGAGAGATTTCTGTGATCTTTAAAATTTCTCCTAAATGATTCTCCTGAAGAGCCGACTTGTTTAATGTTGATATTGTTGAATAAGCAAGATCAATGCCCTAACTGAGTGATACTAAATATTATGTAATTATGAATGCTATTTCAGGGAAGAACATATGTGCCACCTGGAGAAGCAGGAAAACTCTGTTCACTGATTCACCCTTATAAAAAGGATTATCATAGAACTACAAAAGCCATTCGAGATGGAAAGTGTGTTACTGATCTAAACAAAGAAACTGGCACTCTTGAACACCAAGTAAGAAAATATGTGAGGCATAAACATAGAACCAATGCAAATGTACATTTCTTACACAAATCTTAAACTGACATTTAGTCTTATCATCTTCTTTAATATATGTATTGGAAAGATTTTTTTTGTTATGTCCTGTGCACAAAGAAAGCTCCTGCAAAGCTGGAAGGAATTTGGCGGGCTATGTATGTTATATCCATGGGAGGTAGATTGCAATGAATTCCTGTTTAATGGTCGTGTCGTATGGAACTCACACAGAAATCTGACAGAGTGAAGAATGTAAATTTCTTTTAAAATTAAATGTGATTTGTCATTGCTGACTTTCTTAGCTTTCTTTCAGAAGTCATAAAGCTAACCTTTTGTTCTAGCAAGCTAACAGAGATTGGTGTTTATTCTGAATTTTTTTTTTTTTTATTTTAAAGACAATATTTTTGTTTACTCAGGTTTTTCTAGACAATGCTAGCTGTCTTACACCAGGAGACTTTTTGTTGATCATTCGAGAGAAAATTCATAAGGAAGACAATTTCTTGAGAATGGAAAGATGCTATAAGTAATTTAGGTTTTGAGTCACTTCCCCATTCTGGGAAGTCTTCTAAGCACTTCTATTTTTGCTGATAAATTACTGTGAGGTCACAAAATACCATTCCTGTTTATATGTAAGTTTTTTGCTGATAGCAATCTGACTCAGTGTAGTCAGGAACGGATAGCACTGCTACTGCATACAATATTTATAAGTTTGCAGTGCATGCAGAGGAGGATACCTGGATGCAGAATTGAGGTCCATGTACTGACTTTACAGATAAACGTAGGATCAAGATTACAGAACGTCCTGAGGAATTACATGCAGGCCAGGATAAGATGAATGCTTTGCAAGGAGTTGTAGTAAAACTTTTGATGCCAAAGTTTCCATCTTGAGGTAGTGGGTTTATTCTCTCACTAGTGAAATTAAAATGTTTAGGATTTACAGTCTGAAAGTCCCGCAAGTCTATTTTTTTAAAATGGAAAGTTACCCCACCCCCAAAATTGGACATTTTAAAGTAGGAAGTTTAGTTGACAATATTATAGGCACATAAATTCTTTTGGATTTGTAGTAACAGTTAATGTAGGTTGATCTTTGTGATCTCCCAGCCTATGCTTTCTGGTTCAGTCTTCAAATTCTCCTATCTTACTGAAGTTCCTGAAAGGCTTTAATACTTAATCTTTAAAAGATTACGAGTTGTACAAATGCTTTTACTGTTTGACTATGTGTTTAAATAACACTTAAGTATTTATGGTATTTAGAGTCTTTTTATCTAAAATAAAGAAAGAAATTGGTGTATGGAATGACCCTAGTTTGTTTTCTTCGTACTGCGCACAAAATAAATTGAATGTTTAGGGTTTAAACCACCAACTCTAAGTAGCTTGTGAGTATGCAAGCTTTTATATTCATATGGACCAAATTTGAAAATGTAACAAATTATATGTACCAAATCCAAAACTGTTGAAAAAATGCTGTATCTATTATAATCTATTATAATTGGAAGTAATTTTTTAATGTTTCCTGCTTCTGTCTTGCAGTTAAACAGTAAAGACATTGGCATTTTGATACAGAAGTTAATTGAAAATGAAACCCAAAATACTGTAAGTAAATTGAAATTTCTTCTCTTTTTGTTCTATGCTGTACATCTGAAAGTGGCTACATCATGGGATCATACAATTTCAAGTGACAGTATCAAAGTGGCAGTACTTGTGGTTTATCATCACAAAATGGAATCTTAGTTTTACAGCTGAAATCTTCATCAGTGTGCATTACTGTTGCATTGTTGTGTACAGACATTAAAATAATTTCTTTGTTATTTTTTTCCATGAAGAATCTCAGGAGAAAAATATTTGAAAGGGAGAAACATGTTAAAGAACTTTCATCCAGGCTTCAGCTTGAAAAAGTGAGTGACCAGTTCTGTCGGAATGAATGTTGTGTCCTAGTGTACTAGATTCTTATTTACAAATTTTAAATTTTGTGAAGAGCAATTATTTAAAGAATTATGAAAAAAAAGGAAAATCCTGAAAGATGTTTGCTACAGATATATCTTAAAACCATCAAGACTGTATCCAAACCTGTTAAGAATACAGGTTGTCCTTAACACTAATATCCCATGGTTCAGAGAGGGACATACATCTAGACTAATGGCTTTTGGCTTCTCACTTACAGATTTGCAATAGTTCTGGAAAAAAATACTTATAATGAAGCAGTACAGAGTAAACTAAACAGATACTATTCGCAGTTAGTTTCCATGGCTCTTTAAGCTCAATGAACAGGGAAAGGTAGTACTGACAGCAGAGCTAATGTCATCAAAGGCTGACAAGACCTCATTCATTCTTTGAACCAAAGGAAGGGGCTCACTGCAGAAACCAACATAGAAAGAGAAGAATTGCTTGTCCTGTATAAGAAGGTACTATAAAAGTTTCAAAATTATTTTACTGGTAGTTTAGCAATCTATGTTAAACTACTTGTATACCTAAAGTGCACTTCATGTGTATGCAATGCAGTGTGGTTCAGTGTTAGTGAGGGATAGAGTAGGCTCAGTTAAACCTTCAAGGGAACAATGATATACTTTGATTTTTGTAACTCCTTGGTGTTTGTTGAGAGCCATGGTATGGTTCTTTAAGAATTTTTCTTTGCTTAACCAACAGAACATATCACTTGGCTGCAGGATAAACAGCCAGCTAATTGTAACAGAGGAGCCTGTAAGTGTGCCCCCTTTCACATCTGGCAATCGGCATGTCCTTGTCTTTATCTTGAAGTGAAGCAGCATGTTTTCATAGAAACATCCTTGTACTTGAGAGTAGAAATGCTGAACAGAAAGGTCTATAAAGATTCTGAAGGCCACGGTGCCAGCAAACCTCAGTGTTGATGGGATCTGCACAGCATGCTGTGTCCTGACTAGAGGTCTGTCTAATGAACAAGTTGGGGTGCCCAGCATCTGAAGAGATAAATGATTATCTATACTATCCCCTTGTTCCTTCTTATTTTATCTCCAATAAATGGCATTTTCATCAATACCTGACTAACTCTGAGTCTGCCTTTCTTAGTGGTATCTATAGTGAACGCTTGCACTGGTGTATTACAATGTTCTTCTAGTCTATACTGATAATATGACTTCTTTCTACCTGTTTTCATTATTTCTTATTTAGAACGAGCCAAAAGAATCAAGTTGCACAAAATTTCATAGGATCATCTGATCTCAGTTCTGGTGACATATGTTGCCTCTTCCCTTATGCTTTATGTACCGCCCCCAAAATTAGAGTTTGAATTAAGTGTATCAATACTTCTAGTAGCAGGTGGTGGTCTTTGGTATTTAATGAAGATCAGTTCAGTTCTAATTAGTCAGGGCAGAGCTTTAATTATGGCTTTAATTTTAGTCAACCTGCTAGTTAGATGCCTTTGCTCAGCCTGGATTTCTGAGTTTGTGCTTCCAGGTCGTGTTCATGCTACTTAAAGAGTCAGATTAAATATGAGGCATCAATTATGCATACATTCTTTCAAGTTTATGATTTCTGTTTAACATTAGTAACAAGTTACTGCTTGTGAATATACTTGTAGAGCATGTTTTATCTTTTCCAGCTTTTGAGGACTTTCAAATGTCAGAAACTATGGCAAAATAGAAGGAAAATAGAAGGAATATAGATAGCATCATATGGCATGTCTCCATAGACTGATAGATTTATGTTTATTTCTCTTTCTTAGGTCAATGCACAGAAAGAAGAACACCTGTCAAGATCAGTAAAGGCAGTACACGCTCACCTGCAATGTCAGATTCAAAAAAAAGAAGTGGAAAATGAGGAATTAAAAGTGAAAAGACAGGTCAACATATTTTTACTTGTGTTTCAGTTTATTTGAAAAAATTAGCAAAGCCTTATTGTGGTCAGAGTTTAATTCAGATTTGAGAGTTAAATCCTAAAGTATCACTTGAAATCAAACTCTTGGTGAAAGAAAAATCCCAAACAGTAAAAGTCATTAGCATTTATATTTTGCACTGTTTGCCTGACCACATTATCTTAATTGCAAAGGTTTTCTTTTTCTTCTTTTCTCAGCTTGTGCATCCTAGCAGTTCTGGTAAAGAGAAGTTAAGCACACATAGAAGCATTTGCACTCACCTAACTGTGCTATCTAGAAGATAGGTATCAATCCTGAGGCAATCTCTATATAGTCAATAGAAAGAGATAGGCAAGTCCAGAGGATGAGTTTCTTGTAAAATAAGGGTAATGAATCACCACCTATTTCTTTTTGTTGACTGTGAAGGAATCAATAAACCTCTTAATACAGACTGAAAGAGAACACTTAAGACTAATGCCTAACCTCACTTTGTTTAAGGTAGGTGAAATTATTTCCATTTTCTGTTCTAAAAAGCAAGAGCTAAATTTGGGCATTTGCATCAGTTACTGGCTTTAGGTCACGTGTCAGAGGCTGGAGCTTTATGTGGCCTCAGGTTTCAGTATTTGAAACTTGTCAAGAACATAGGCATGAATGAGAAAACATTGGCTAAAAAATAATGTATTTCTGATTTCCAGACTTTTTTTAGTAGCATACATCCCCTATTAATTGTATCATTTGAAATTGTAAAGGAACCTGTAGCAACTCAGTTTCAAAAAAAGTCACGTATGTCTATGTCTGTATCAGTACCTCATGTTTTTTTCTAAATAAAAATTACTTTCTTGTTCTACCTAGTACAATCACAGAATTCCAACAACATTTTTATTAGATAAAGTAACTTGATATACAACTGTATTTTCATTCAGTCTTTATTGAAATGTTTTCTTTGTTTTCTCTTCAAAATTGCTGAAGTCAATTGCTAGCTTAAATCATGGTGATGATTTTGTTAATATCTGAAGAAAAGCTTGCAAAAGCTTAGCATTACTCTTATGAAATTATCAGTTTGAATTTACCTCAGCCACTGAATAATGCCCAAAGCACTTATTCTTAGTGTGATTGTGACCTCCTGTGGTTGTAACAGGGGATAACAGTTGTTTAGTTATACCAAAAGTTAAGAAGTCCGTACATAGACTCAGATTTTCTATTTGCTCTATTTATAGAAGGTGTTCTTCCACTGCCCCTCTCAAGTCACATCTTTGTTTATTTAAATGCCCTATAAGCATCTATAGATGAAAACTGCTTGCTGCATATTTGGGGTTTTTTTATAAGTACTTTCCTTTTATAAGGAAAAGTAGTGCTTTTCCTTTTTGGTAAGTCCCAGTACCTGAGACCATCTTTTACTTGGAAAACCACATACATTTTGCATTGGTTGTGGAAAAGTTTTGGGGCCATTAGCAGGACTTATACTGACAGATATCCTCTCATGTGCATAATATGCATATTTTATTAGCAACTGGCAAATAGTATCTTGAATAAGGCTGGCACATTAACGTAGTCATTAGGTAGATGGCATGTCATTCCAGTCTTTATTCATGTAGAACATAATTAAATGTCAGACCTAGACTCAAAGGAAACAAATGCATTAATTGTTCTTTCAATTAGGATATTTATTAGTGACTTGAGAAATTTATTTACACTGCTAGCCTACTTACATTGATGTAATTTGGCAGAAGAATAATAAGTGATATGAAAGGAACTTTCACTTGTCTCTATGAAAGTAGTTGTCTACTGGTAGCTTGGCTATGTTTTTGGTAAGCTGTAGCACCTTAAAAATAATTGCATCTGAGATTCTCCTTGAAGCAGAGTCCAGTATTTCTTTTATTGTATGTCATCATGTAGTGTTTTAATGTCTGGTCTTTTTTTCCATTCATATTTAAATAACAAGTGATATGTAGATGAAAAACACAAAAGTCATGATGTTAGAGAGAGCAGCTTCCTGGATTGGATGGGATCAGTACACTGCCTTCATCAGAGTGATGTAAAATCTAGTTAGTCAGAAACATTAACAGCAATAGAAAAGATAACATAGTGACAGTTGTAGAACCCAGCTCTCATCTTGATTGCATTGTACACATTTGATAATATAATTAAATGCATTAAAAATACATTTAATGCAAATATATTTTTACATGTATTTAAATAAAAATATATTTAATGCAAATGTATTTTATTTCCTGAGTGCTGCAAAGTCAAGCACTCAGGAAATGGTAAGTTGTCCTTACAATGTGTGATTTACCACTGTGGTTTAAGCTTTATCATAGCCTATTTCAATCATCTTTAAACAATCGTCTGCTGTGAGTAAGGCAGTGCTTAATCTGTTCTTTTTGCATTTTCTGCTTCACTATACATTGAACACAAAATATAACTTTCCATAAAAAATAGTTTCTTCACTAAACAATTCTGCTTCATTAATAGAGTGAGGACATGATATGCATGGAAAAAAGTCAGAGATTTTGCAAGAACATAGTATATTGTCATCTAATCACAGGCCATATCATAATACATATGTTCAAGAAAAGACTGTAGCTTTTCCTGGTTTCTTGGATTTGTTTTTTTTTTTTTAAGTCAAGATCTTAACTTTCATATTCAAATTTCATATGCAGTTATACTGCTCTCCAGCCCTAGTTATGTGTGTGCTCACTATAGATTCAGAGCACATACTGCTACTACATCAGTGAATATCACTAGTAGCATCATTAAGGTGATATTCTTTACAGAAATCAGTCACTAGGGATGATGAAACCACTTCAAATGGGTTTAACATCCATGCCATGCCTTCCACATTGAAATTCTGCATTCATTTCCAAGAGCACATAGCGATGGTTAGGCTGCTGTCTTTCTACCTACTCCTGCCTGCTTCTGCCCCTCCTCAACCTCTTCTCTTCATCTTTTTAATGAATTTCCCAACATATATTTTCTCTTGCCTACTGCTGTACATATCTTGGCTAGCTCCATGTATCAACCACAAGATTTGAGATACAAAGCAATTATGGAAACAGATTATAAATGTAATTAGTATTCCTGATTATGTTTTATCACAAAATTATCTGTAAGATATAGAATTTGAAGAGAGTTGATGTTTCGTTATGCTGCAGACTCTAGAAAAGAAAATAGCAGTGTGGAAACTTCAAGTTGGTGAATACAAGCACCAGATGTTAGCCTTGAAGGAAACCAGTGAGCAAAAGAAGAGCGCTCTGAAAAAAGCAATCAAGTCCCAGAAACAAAGAGCTAAACACTTTGAAGCAGCTGTGGAAAATTTAACCTCCAGAATAAGAGAATGTGTGAGTGACTATGCTGTGAACAATGTTGTGCTGTATTGTTTTAAATTGAACACTTGGGGGACTTTCACCTGTGGAAAATAGGAGAATTTGGTTGGTCATGTTGTGTTTGTATCATCTCTTTTATTTTTTTGCTCCTTGGTTAAGGAAAAGGTTGCTATAAGTGACATGCAAACTGCTACTACATTCACAGCCTTTGTTTTGTTAAAATCTAGTGAATGTCTTAAGCCATGAGGTCGTACACTTCAAACTGTAGTAAGAGAAGTCTGATCAGCTTTCAGTTACACCTCTCCTGACCTTTCTGTTAGACCTTTATGGATATACACTAACTCAGAACTACAGTATACTAACTGAGGATCCATGATTGGGGTTTGAAGGCTTTGTTTTCTTTATCAGTGTATGACGTCTCATTAAGATACTCAGCTTTCTGTTTCTAAGCTGCTTGCTCTGAACCTTTTCAAAATGCAAGTACAAAACTTCCTTAATCCAAATTGTTCCTTAGATTCTTGCCCTGCATATCCCTACAGCGTGTAGTTGTTCAAAAAGGCTCAGTGGATCAGACCTGTACTGAGATCTTTATTGCCTTATTTATATTTCCAACTAAGAGTATGTTTTCATACTTTCAGATGTATTGCCATCATTTTGGATATGTCGGTATTAAAGGTGTATTTTTCCAGTTAGTATACCAGGAGACGGTTAATAATGGGTTTTGTTTTCTTTGATCTTTGTGAGAAGACAGTAGTGAATCTTTAAGTACACTTAACAGCACAGAGGGATGGCAACTAACTCTTGCAATGTTGATGTTTTGTAGTCACACTGTTGTTTTCCTTCCCCATTGAAGACCTGGTGTACTTTCAAGATAGCATGTGTTGGTTAATTATCCATACTCCTTTGAAGGATTTCACCTAACTTTGCATTTCTTACCTAGCTATTATTTTTTATTCTTAAAATGTTTTAGCAGAATTTTATTTTTGTATTAATTTATGTGATTTATATGCAGTAGAGATGTATTTGAGACAAATATTTTTGCTCTAAGAAAAAATTATCTTAAATTTTGAAATATTGTTGTATTCTACAGTTGATATACAGTGCCAGCATTTAACTGTGTCTCTGCCTTGAAAGTAAGCCTGCACTTACTTAAAGTAAGACTAATTTTTTAAAATGTGGGTAGTTTTGTTTATTTTCTTTTGAGACAAGACAAAATTTATATTGCTTTGTACTAGGGAGATTCAATAAAGCCATCTTACATTAAATAGCTCTTGTGTGTAGAAAAAATTTAGAACTAGATGGCATTCTTCAGTGGCATTCTTTTGTTACATAATTTGTAATTCCTGTTTTCTCTAGGAAGTCAAACTGTCTGAGATACTGTTAGCTTCTGATGTCTGGAAAAACCAGCATGATAGAATGCTTGAAGGAAAGACCACGTTAGAAATTCAAACAGAAGATCTTAAGAAGTAAGTTAAACCGTTGATCTATTTTTTTTGTTTCTGTAGTCACACAGTGTTGATATTGAGTAATGTAGGACTCTGCTGACAATATAAACAAGTTTATGTATTCATATTTTAAAATTCTGAGCAGAATTTAGAAGTTGGAAACTAGAACAAATTTAAGATTTTTAACGTTCTCTATACTGCATTTCACAACTTTTTTAAAAATTTCATTCCCTTCTAAAAGTAAGGAACATATTCTTTCCCCTGCATACTTCTGGTTAGCCTGAACTCGCTAGTAGCTACTATGCTGCTTTCTCAAAGCCACTTATTTAGTAACTGTTTTAGTAACTCAAGTAACACTTGAGTGTTAACCCTTGTGTCTCTGCAGTATAGAAGAAGCTTCTTAGGCTTCTAGTTTCTGCTTCAGTCTAATGATGGCAAAATTCTTTCAATTCCGCTGATGTCTTACCCCACTAGAGGACAGAGAAGGGTTCCTCTCACATGTGCGTTTGAACAGTTTATTCTTGTAAGGAAAAGCAAGACAAAATTGTCCAACCTTATTCAAACTACGCAGTCAAATCTTAAAGTACCTGAAGGATATGCCATTTTCTTTGGCAGATGGTGACAAATATCCTTTTAGCTTTTCTGTGGTAGAAATATGGACTATAATTGAAACAAGCAAAACAAATTGGCAGGTGCCTTTATGCTAGATCTAAGGCAGAATGTTTATTTTACAAAGGATTTAATTCATGCTGGAATATGTAACAGCACAAATTAAATTGGCTTGACTCTTTTGATTTTGTTTCAGAAAATCTGATGTTTCTGAAAATATTTTCAGCATATTTTAAAATTTGGCAGGGGTGCAGGTACATGAGATCAGTCCAGTAATCTGTCTAGCCCATTACTGGTCCATTGTATATGAGGAGGCATCTAGGAAAGAATAAGAAAAGCGAAACATCTATGATAACTTCCCTCAAGTACTCATTCTGCTTCTAGCTGTTCTTTGCTGTTTTTATTTTAGCTGAAAATACAAGTTTTTGCTTGAAATGTACCATTCTAACAGGACTTGTTCTACTAGGCAGTGTCTGACTAACTAAACAGCAAAACAAATTTCATTGTTTAAGTTCATTAACATGAAAAGCAAATGGTGAGGCATAGCACAATTTGTTGTTTTTAATAATGGAAAGTACCATTCCTAAACTAGCTATGGAATGTTCGTAGTAGAACATTATCTGATAGACCCTATAAATTCAATATCATTCCATTTTGTACAGTATGTGTATGCATAGTTGTCTTGGAAGTATGCTTGCATGTTCTAGGTAATGAATTTATTTATAATTGAGCTAGGACCACTTCTTTGGTGGATCACTCTTTTGGATAGTTTCTTATTTCAATAGATACTACTTTCCTGGGATGCTTAAATGCATTCTACCTTCTTATTTTATTTTAAAAATAAATAAATAATCAATGAAGGAGTATGTGTGTTAAGATACAATTTAATTTGCATGGTGAGAGTTTTGGAAGCATTGTATATTATACCGAAGTTCTTGCTTATCTAACAAGGCAGATCACAAGCCTTTTGGAAGACATGAAAAGAAAGGAGGAATGTAGAAGAAACTCAGATGAGGAAATTCTTGGAAAGCTAAGTTCTGTTAACTCTGAAAATGAGAAGCTTTACCTTGAAAATGAAAAATTAAAGGTGAGATCATTATAAATCACTGTTGAATGTCTCTGCATTTCTGATACATTAATGAAGTAACCACATTAATTCCCTTTGGGCCTTCGGTCTAGAGATCCCAAACCTGTAGAATAAATTTTGCCATCCATTTTTTACAGTAAGTGAAAATGAGACATTGAAAATTTATCAGTGGAAATCTGTGGCAAAGCTAGGAACAGCATTGTCGCATCATTTGTCTGCTTAACCAGGATGCTATTTATTTTACTGTCAGTAGCTACAAAATTGCTTAACTAGAAATTGTTCTTTTATGTTTGCAAAACTTTGTTTCAAACTACAGAACTGAGTTTAGCTCAGTTACTAATTTCAATTTTTAAAGAGTTTACAGGTTTTGTGTTGTATTTACCCTCCAAAGTAAATATTCTCATGAGCTGACAAATGAACTGTGGAGTATCATTTTTGTTTGACAGGATAAATAATTGTGTCACTCTTCTTAATGCCTGCAGGTCACTTGCTAGTAATATCATATCATAGATTGTGTTATTTTAATAATACTCTTACAATTTTTATATTTTCCATGTTTTAATCAAGGCTTCCCTTGCTACATTGGAAAACAGTACTGTGTCTGTTCAAAATGAGCTGCTAGATCTGCAAGAAAAGGCAAAGCTGCAGGAAAACCTTGTTGAACAGTATAAAAATCAGGTGACTAGTGTACTTGAAATGTTCAAGTATGGTTTTGAAATTTGTAAGCAGTTTTGAGGAAATGATAAAGGTTTTGTTTCTAATAAAACAGTTCTGTTGTCATGGTGATTGTAATACTGTCATAACATTTAGGATGATAGAAAAGAGTGCCATTACAAACCATATTCAAGAACAGCCTCCACACTATTACTAGTACACATAATCCTTACTGAATTGTGTGAAGCCCAGTTGAAGCTCATTGAAGCCAACAGAGCTAATTACATACTTTCTTAGAAAAGATTGCTTCCTAAAAAGCAAGTTGGCAACCCAATAAACTATATTTAAAAAGTAAAATTTGAGTCTGATGTCTTTAGTAGACATATCCAATGATATTTTATCTCCCCTTGTTCATACCTTTATTTCCACATTTCTAAGAACAGTAAACCAGCATTCAAGTACTGTTGTAAGAGTCTTTTTATTTACGTAGGTAGCTCCACATTGAAAATACCAGCAAAACATATAAATCAAACTTAAAATGGGCTTTTTATCAATTCCTTTTTTTTTTTGTACTTGGCTTGATTCACAGAGAAGACATTGATTCAAAGTTCTATATATTTCTGCTATAGTATAGACATAATTTCATTGACAGTCTTCACTTACCTCTTTTTAAAAATCACTGACAAGACAAAAAATACAAAATCCAAGTACAATCAGTGTGCCTTGTCTGTGGAATGCATCACCACAATTAAAGTTGTTGCCAGCTTTAAGGTGGGAGATGTAGTTCCAGGGAACAGCCAGCCTTAAGCAGTGAGTGGGATGAAATTCCCTAGCTCATAGCTGTGGTGACTCCAGATGGGAGCTGATACTTGTTATCTGGGGAGAGAAGAGTGAGTCATGCTGGCTGCTTCTGTAGCACAACTGTAGCTCCTTCTCCATTGTTGAAAACAAAATGTTGATACTGGAGTGCTCTTTACCTGGTTACCCTTTTATATTTGGTGTGGTGAATAGGATAATGAAAATAACTTCATATGATGACAAATACTGAGATTCTATTTAGAAATCAAAGGTTTTTCTTTATGCTTCATACTAATGATTCTATCTTCTGTATTTAAAAGAAACACCTTGCAAATGTATGTGAAAAATATGTGTTGTTCTAGGTACAAAAATTACAAACAGCAGTAGAAGAATTGCAATCCAGATATGAAACAGTCTTAAATGAAAACAAAAGAATAACAGAAAACAAATGCTTAGAAGTGGATATGGTAAGTTTTGCAGTAATAAAGGATGTTTCCAAACAATTCTGTAGGACATTGATCTTTCATACATTATTGTGATCTCCTTATTAGAAGTCACAAGGTACTGGCTCTTTTTCTTTTTCCATGTATAAAATTGTTTTAAATTCACTGAATGTTTTACTAACTCCTACTTGAGAGCTGGTGGTTTTTTGGATGCTACACAATTGCAAACAGGTGAGAAATGGTTCCTCAAGTAATGACTGAGGAGTTGGGCTGCTATTTTAGATTCGAGAATTCTTTTGTCCCTTTTAAAAATGTGATTTTGTTGATGATTTTAAAACTAGATCTCTTGACAGAACAGCAGTGAAAGTAGCGTATGGAAGCAAACCTGCTGTAAGACTGCTTTGTTTGTTTTAACTAGCAGTTAAAACAGAGAATCCATACAGAGATGAGTTTTAAGTTTTTCGGCAGATGGAGCTGAATACTGGAACACAGTTAGCACATTCTTAAACATCAGAAAACAATGTAAAATTAGTAGGAAAATCACTGTCCTCAGTTCCATGGATTGTCAAAATACATGCTCTTTTAAGCAATAAAGCTGAGGCAGGGACAGGATTTGCATTGCCTGCAGACAATTAGTCCTCACATAGAAGTGTCTTAGATGTTAATTTTATTTCATACTAACTTTATTTTTCCATGATTGAGTTGTAGATTGGAGAGAAATATTTTCTGATCCCATAAATAATATTTGCACAGCATTGCATGTGGCTTCGTATGGTATTAGGTGTTGCCCTCTTCAAATACTGCAATACTTGTATGGTCAGCATTTTTCTTGTAAGCTGCTTAGTGTGTCTGTATGCCATCTCCCAAAATATATTGCAATAAAAATAAAATAAAAATTTGGGTATTGCATGATCAACTGCTAACACTTGCATAATTTTCTAAGTGTTCATTATGAGTGTTACTTAGTCTTCAATGAAGTGTAGTCAGAGATGGAAATTTCTCCACAATGGTGAACTTGTAACTTTGTCAATGTTTTATAAAATAGATGATACTATGCAACTTGTGTTGAATTTCAGATTTATTACTTACATGGAAATCCATTAAGTATTACAACAATTAATTTATGGTTTTACACTTAAATTTTTCTCCTGTGATGCTACTATGCAGGTGAGGGACAAAATGGAGGCTGAATTAAAAGAGTTAGAACATGTTTGTGACTTGCTGAAAACAGCTGAGGAAAAGCAGCAAGGCTATCAGGAAAAGCTTGTGTCCTGGGAAAGGAGCCATGCACAGAAATGCAAAACCCTCAGGGAGCTGCACGTTCAGGTGCTTGAAACATGCTGATTTTTGAAGATAAATGAGAAAATTATGTGGAAGAGAGTCTCTGGAACACTTTTTTTTCCTATTAGTATGTGTGACTGTTGTGGTTTCCTTTGTTATTTGCTTCATAAAGCAAAAGCTTCTTCTGTAGAAATAGCATAATGCAAATAAAACTATTGCAACTGTATTTACGTGAATTCAGTATGTGACAAGGCTAATTACTTTGAGGTTCTCTATCTTTTAAGTGAGTATATTCTTGATTGTTTTGAATACTTATGTCCTGACATGTGTTGCAGAATTCTTCCTTGGAAATAAATGTGCAAGTCTAGTTATTGTTTGTATCTAGTGGAATAATTTAATTCCACATTAGTTTTGTTTTTAATGACTGATTTATAAACCAGACAATATTGGTGCAGATAAATAGTCATAAATTATAGTTGATGATGTATAACTTTAACATTTTAATGATTACATTGTGTTAGTTGATAGACTTTATATACTTGTAAAAAAAAAAAGCTCTTGATTTTGTTTTAAATTTCTTGTCAAGATGATCTTTATAGTATGAAATTTTGTTCTTGTTTGTATCTTTTTAAATACTTCTTCCAGGAATGCTTATAAGCTCGTAAATCCATCTTTGCTTAGCAAAATACTTAAGCAACAATTAATTTTGAAGTGCATGTATAAAGTGATATATGCAATTTTAATCTAACTACATGTTTTCCTAAATAAATGCAAAAAGCTCTTAAGTATAGTGAAGTAATTGGGAATATAATCACTAGTCTTGGTGACATCCTTTAGAGATTCTGATCCTTGATCCTATGACTAGAATTTAGGAAAATTCCTTTTGAAGTAACTGGACCATGTGCAGAATCCATCTTCTGGGTTCAGCTGGACCAGATCAGTTTACTACCCCTCTGCTGGAGATTTCTACTACTGCCAGTCTGCTAGCTGAACAGCACATAAATCACGTGAACAAAATCAGCCAGATTAGCTCAAACTACTGGATGGAACTGCTTGAGGTAGTCCAGTGAAAAATGGAAGTTGCCCCTTAAATAACGGTGCCAAGAGGCTGGTGATGTGGCTATTTATTGCCAATCTGCTGTTGATGGATGGTAGCAAGAGCAATAATATCAGCACTACTGTTATGAGATTTAAAAGAAAACACATAAAAGTTTGTCAGTCTGGATGCTGGGCAGGGGAAGACAGTTTGGCTTCTTGCTTTCTTCTATACCTCTTTTTATGAACTTGATTGTCTTTTTTGATATTCACTACTTTCTGAAATTCTTTACCAGGGCTACATTGTTCTTCTGTGATAACTGTGTATGTATATATATACGGTATTATTTTTATGCTTCCTGTGACTGTAGCGTAGGGAAACTTATTTTTGCTTGAATATAAAGCTTAAGTGTCAGAGTTTACAAGGAGGTAGACCCGGCCAACTCCTAATACACAAGGCTGCATGAGTAGCATATGGGTTTTGTTAGGGCTTCACTTTGTTACATAGCAAGTTTTCAGTCTTAAAGTGTTCACACAAAGTTTTAGTCTGCTACTTTGGCTGTATTTTATTTGTTTTAAATACAGGATAATTTTTACTGGAATATAATATAGTGTTTACCTGAAATTACTGTTAAATTGTTTGATTGGATTTTAATAGGCAAGTTTACTTTACTCTGTAAGATCCTGTATATAGATCTCTTCAACTAGAAACGAATTGTCATTTTCACAGGAGGAAGACAGTGTAACTTCTGTGGGCAGTCATTCCTTAGAAGAAGAAAACTGTAACATTCAGAAGAAATATGAAGATCTTAAAAGGTAACTTTTAAAAAATCTGACTGCAGTTAATTCCTACACCTCTCTGCTATAGTGAATTATAATGCATTAATCTGTTTTGCATAAAGGCAATTAGAAAAGATGGAATTTCAAAATGAAGAACTTGCTTGTCAGCTCAAAAAAGAAGATGAGAGTCTTCAGTGCAGTAAATTGCAGCTTGAAGAGAAAATTGCAGAGTATAATGGATTAACCAGACAACTGGAATCTGCTTTGGAAGAAGGGAGAAAAATGGTATCGCTGATTTAATACATCTCTTAATCTTATTTGCCATTTTCTATTTAAAAATAGCATTAAAAATGAATGTGCTTGAGAAGAAAGGATGGGACAAGATTATTTTGCACATTTGTTTAAATATGGATTGCATAACTCAACTTCTTTGTGGAATTCGGATCCTACTGAAATTAATGACAAAGTTCAGTGGACCAACATTTCACTATCTTTTTTTGGTGACAAATCAAAATGCTTTAACCACCTAATATTAAATCCCACACATATGGCAAAAAGTTTCTGAACAAAAGCTTGATCTTACCTTTTTCTTATTTTCTTTGGAATAGGCAGCCCACAAGAACTTTGGTCGAAATCCTCCTCATTTTAGCGGAAGGCTTTGCACGCTTTCAATATTAAGCGGAGATTTATCATTTGTAGAAAGGATGCAAACAGTACATCAAATGGAAGAGGCAATTTAGGAATTTGGATTGCAATGGATTATATTCGTTTAATCAGAAAATATGTATGAAATTGCAATTTCTGTCTCAGTTGATTTCAACATGATTAATCTATCTGAATTTTCTCAATACTGTCTGAGGATATTGATTTGATTTTGAAAAAATAACAAGTTTGGCTTAACTTACAAATAAGCTACAAAAGTATCTCCCTCCCAGTAATATTATTTTTTTTTCCCCAAGTTGAAATTTCTTTCAAATTTAACCAGAATATTTCTCAGGTTTGTTTAATTTCTGGGCATGGGAAATAACTAAAGTATTAGATGACAGAATAGGAAATAGAGCTATTAATGCTAAGATATAAGAAAATAATTCGATTTGGGCTTTAAGAGAAAGTAAATATACATAATTTCTCTTTCTTTACTATTATAGGTAGCTGAAGAACTGGAAAAATGGTCATACAAAGAACAAGCCCTTCAGACAAAAATGCTAGTTCTTGAAACTGAAGTGAGAGAGGGGCAAGAAGAGAAAAAACAACTCCTCTGCATATTTCACCGTGTGAGTAAACAATACTGTTTATGACTTAAGAAATTACTTACCACATCACCGTTTACAGTAAAAGTTCCTTTTACTGAAAAACACACCACTAATACAATTGATACAGACTTTCAGAAACAGCAAATTAATTCAGCTTGTCAATATATTTTGTATATTGACATTTCTAATACGCTTAACATGCCCAGTCTAACTAAATCACTAGAATAATACTAAGTTTACATCTCTTATTCAATCCAGTTTTCCCAGCAAAGCAAAAATCAAAAAATATGTATGAGGTTGTAATTTCCCCTCTCAGATTAATCATGTTCAGTAAGCATACGTAGATTTGAATAGATGCTAAGAGTTCCATAATGATGTAGTGGTATCTTCCCCCCCCACACACCCCCCCTGCCGAGTGAATCACAAGAATCTGATCTTGCTGGAATTTGTGAAAAGCTTTCAGTTTATATGCTGATATTGCACATAAACGTAGTTAGTAACAAAAGAGATGATATTATGATTTCTCAAAGTGTCAAACCTTTAAATGCTTAGGTTTTGATATCTCGATATTTTCCTATTCAGCAAACCCATGGTCTAACATGGCATTTAGGATGAGTAATATTCTCTGAAAACAAAGAAGCCTGATTTATTGTTTTATCTAATCCAGAAAATTTCAGCACATTTTCTGTTAATAAAATGTCAGACATAGCTGAATTCCCTAGACTAGTGATGGCAAATAACTTGCTTTAATCAAAGTTTTGATACAGTTAGGGATTTGTCCTGTGATGAGTTATTGTAAGCTACAAGCTATTTAAAATAAATGTAGAAGACCCTAAGAAGTTTTACTATCATTCCCCTAGACTTTCAAAAACAATATTCTGTATTCTGATTTGAAGCATTCAAGATTAAGATCAAGCCAACCCAAATGCAAACTCTATTCAAGATTTAAATAAGATATCAGAGACGTGGTTCTGAACTCAGTATGCTTTAATTAATTTTTATCTGTATCAAGTGTAACTTAATGTCTGCATTTACCCTAAGACAAAAGTATTCTTAAAACAAAATCAGGCATTGGCTAGTGTTTTATTCTACTTCAAATATTTTCTCATAGGAATTTCTTACTATGTTAAATTAAAATAGAAAAGAAAGAAAGTTTTCTTGTCTTTTGTCCCAGAAGAACTCATAGGTATGTTTTTAAATGGTTTCCATTTGAAGCTTACGGTTAAAATACAATTGTGAAAGATATATATGTCTGAGAGAACTGTTCTAAATTAATTAATTGCTTTTTATTCCAATTACATTTACATATAACTGAGACTGCATTATGGAAAATGATAAAATGGTCTTATTCCTGTTGTTGTAGTGAAACTGGAAGCAAAATAGGACTGTGAAGGTAACTTTATTCAGTTATTCATTCTGACCTGATTATTGTTTTCTAAGGCTGGACTTAAATCTGATGACTATAATTATGTTTTTTTAAAAAAATTTAATTTATTTTAACCAATTAGCATCTGAAATCTGCAATAGACATAAAAGGAAATATCTGAATGTCTGTAGTATTTATAAAACAATTAATCTATGGTGTGCATCAGGTATGGAACTAATGAGCAGGTAATATTGCTATCCATCATTTTTTTATATAAGGAACTATAGGCATCAAAAATCACATTGCATCAGAAATCAGTAACAGATGTTTCCTTGAAAAATCAACATGAGAGAGAGTGTTAAGTCCATAATAGATTAAGATGCTACGAATCTTCCATGATAAAAATTCAGAAGGCTAGTTTTTACGTTCCTATGCCTTTTTTGGATTATAAACCTATTCAAACATGTTCGGTTTGGTCCTGACTGAACATAAATAAAGCTTCAATACTTTGAGGCCTTTTTGAGAACGTTCAGTTTTGTGAAGCCTCTGGAACCTTTTACAGGTAAATAAGGCTTGTAAAAATGAGGTACTAGTTGTCTTACATTATTAATATAATTGATTTGTATTTTATTTTTAAGTTGCATTGCATTTCTATTTTTTATTTAGAATGAAAAGCACCATGAAGTACATTTGAAAGAGCTGGAGAACATCCTACAGAAGTCAGAGAACAAGAACCAGAGCATTCAGAATTATGTGCAGTTTTTGAAAGCTTTGTACATAACAATGTTTGGCTGAATTCTTCAATTTATTTGATAATAAGGAAACTTTTCAAGATTTGGCTCTAAGTCTTGTTGGAAACAAGGCTGTTGAGGCCTTACAATATTTTGCAGGATTGAGTACTATAATGTTAGTTCTTCCCTAGGAAAACTTCTGTTGTGGGCAGGGAAGAGCAGGTCAATCTTTACTGTATATCCTACTGGCTGGTCACATACAGAAAATTTACCTGATACTACTGATACAAAGAATTTTATCATTCATGAAACAGAAGTGAAAAGGCAGACTGTATGACAGTAGTGACAGGTGTGTAAGTGTGGGGTGTACACAGAAAGTTGTAAATTGGTCTGTGAATTTACAAAGTGTTAGGTCCTGTGCTGTAAAATCTTACGTATGCCCTTTTATCCATGGTAAATGGAGATGATCACAGATTATCTTTCAGCTCGCATGGGGAAGAGAACACCCATGGACTGGTTGCATAGTAATTTGCATATTTTAGTTATTAGTAATTATATAATATTTATCAGTCATTATACTTCTGTTACTGTAGAAATCTAGCTGTCCAAGATAATGATATCTAGCCTATTAAGACAGGCAAAAATTTAGAGAGCATTACGTTCCCTTCCTTTCTTTTCCCTGTAGCTTAGCACCAATGTAGCACGTACTACTGCACTGCATGAAATAGTTGTCGCCACAAGGCTGTCCCATCCAGCCTTTTTTCC